TCCAGTTAGCCATCTGTCTGATGGACTTGTGCCACTCGGCAGGATTGGACTTCTTCAAGTGCTCCACATGGTCGTGGTAAAATGATTTCTTTACTCGTTTGATGTCACGGGCTAGCTTGTTCCTGAGAAACCTGTGGAGTACTACTTGCCCTTGACTAAAGGCTCTTTGCCTCTTGTGTATCAATAACTTGAGAGAAGTGGTAACCCAGGGTTTGTCTCTGTGATGCAACTTAGCTCTCTTAGAGGGGAAGATTTCGTCGATGGCTGAATGTAGTGTCCGGTAGAATGCTGCTGTCTTATCTTCAACTGCATCCCTCTCTAGAACCTCTTCCCAGCTGTGCGACGTGATCCACTGCCCGAACTCACGGATCCTAGAGTCTGGCATGGGACGGACTACAACGTAAGTAGACTTGTTTGTTGTCCGCGCGCGAGCTCCTGACTGCCACCAAACAGCCTTGTGGTCACTTGTGCCCATGGGGCTAGTCACGACCGGAGTCTTATAATAAGACTTCAAGTTAGTGATGATGACGTCGAGAGTTGCTTCCCCACGGGTCGGGGAAGTTACTACTTGTTGCAGGCGTTGTGCCCGAAGAAGGGGTTGATAATCCAGTCGATTGACGTTCCCGGCGACTATTAGCCCGATCTCAGGATGAAGTGTTTTCAGAAGATCTGCTGTGTCCACTACATGGTCTAGGAGAAGCTGCTGGTATCTGGAGTTAGGTGGCAGGTAAGTGGCACAAACTGCGATGCATGGTACTTGGCGCGGTAGTCTAGGCGGTCGGAGCCACACCCACACACACTCGAGTTCTGGTGGTACCACGGCCTGAGGGATTGTTCTTGCATGTATTTTCTCATTGACATACACGGCTACACCACCCCCACGACGATCTGTTCTGCTACTGGAGAATAAAGAGTACTGATCTACGTTCAGAAGCTCGGATGGCATTGCTGGGGAGAACCATGTTTCTGTGACAATGGCTACATCAGCTTTGCACTTCATGATAGTGAGCTCAAATTCCTCCAGTTTATTCAGAAGAGAACGGGCATTGCACATATATACTGATGGAAAGGTCGCTGTGTTTACAGGTCGCTTAAGCGGTTGTACAGGGACCTTAAGTAGATTACAGGTGTTCACATGCCTGCGTGCTGTTGGGGGTAGTGGTTTACCATTCCTTCCGGAAGATTTGCATATGAAAGCAGGACAGGTTGGAACTAAAAAGGTAGGTCTGTTCACAACAACGGTGGCAATGTTTCTATGAAGATTCTTAACGGCCCTTGTGCCCCTGTATCTGCCGCGAGTCTTCAGTACTCCTAGGTGTCTGAGGTGCTCTTTGAAACGAGGTGTTACCGGCCGTGTCGATTGCCGTAGGCTTCTGAATACCTGGGCTGAATAGCGCATCGTTGCAATGGAGGCCATCTCTGGTTGAGTGTTAGAAGTTTTAAATAGAACAGGTATTAAATTCCCAGCAGTTACCACCATAAAATTGTACCAATTTGCCATTTATTATGCAAATTAGGTCTTCCTTTACATAATCAATATCTGCCAATGATCTTGTCGTTCTCACTAACATATGTCTATAGAGTTTTATAGCCCTAATATGAAATACAGCTGATTTATAGAATTTCCTCATTAATTATGCAAATTAGACCCTGATTTGCATAATTATATTTTGATTATGTCAAGCATCACATAAGCTACCTACATACCATACCAAAAAATCATGATGATCCATCAAACGGTTGTTCAGTTATCCTCTCTCGAAGATTTTCAAAGAAACCACCCTGCAGTTCCAAAACAAGCCGCTAGGGGGACCAAATTCGCGTGACTTCTTCCCGAGGACAAGAGCTACCTTCCATCCAAATATCATGACCCTAGCAAGTCCAGATCGCGAGATATCAAAACCGGAAGTTGCGCTGAAGTACCAAGGGAAGCCACTAGGGGGCCCAAAATCCAATCATTTCCAGTTTTCGTCACACCCTACCAACACACCAAGTATGAAACCAATCCATCCAGGCGTTCTTGAGTTATCTTGTTGACCAACAGACGGACGGACAGACGGACGGACAGATAAACGCAACTGAAAATATAACCTCCATGACACATTTCATGGAGGTAATCAACGACCTCAAGGACAAAATGTTGTGGCCTTCCACCCATGTGGTGTGAAATTCGGTAGGATTGTTCATAAATACTAACCAACAACAATCATATCTTTTTAACATACATCCATTTGGAATTATTATTGTAAAATACGTTACTTTTTGTATTTAATATTATGTGTTTCGAAATCCAGATACTGTACCTTTTAGTAAAATGTCCTCCAAATAGCCATGGCATAAAGATTCCATATGCCTGAAGTCATTTTTTCATTTTCACGTCGGTGTTGCCTGGGACAACATGAATTAGAAGATCTTATCATTCGACTATAGATCATTTTTACTAAAGTTTGGCTGTATTCCTCTGGGGTTTACGGGGAAACTCATTTTGACTGATCTCAAAGCAGAGTGGTGGCATATTAGAACGTCTCTGACCAATGGGTACTCTCTTCGGTCACCCTAGCATCTGCTTAGAGATTACATTTTGACGGCTTTAGCCCAAAATTAGCAAAAAGACGTCGTAAAGACGACATTTACGTCATAATGATATCAAATTTTGATTTCAAAGATACACCCTCCTCTGAATGTTTTTTCCTATAATATGTACTAACTGTCATAATAACACCAAATTTTAATTTTAAAGATACAGCCTCCTCTGAATGTTTTTCCTACAATATGTACTAACTGTCATAATGACACCAAATTTTAATTTCAAGGATACAGCCTCCTCTGAAATTTTTTCCTACAATATGTAGTAACTAGTTGGGTTACAGGGGGTGGGCTTTAACCACTATCCCCCCCCCCCCCTCCGTCCAAGCATGATGGAAAAAACAGGTGTTGAGCCAAAAAATTCAGCTGCCGCATACGTAATAGGTCAGGTGTGTAGGGCTAGGGCTAGGTTAAATTTGGGATCATTGTTCCGGGCTACGGTTAGACTTAAGGTTTGGGTTAGGTTAATATGTTGTTGGGGTTAGGCAAGGTTAAGTCTCCCTTATAGCGACTCCCCCCAACCCGTGTGTTAAGTATATTGGAAATCCCAATGTAGTATCGGAGACATATATTTGGCAGAATCATGTACTATCAGTCAATTGTAACCTTTTAGTCTTTTGATAAAAGGTCAACGGTGTTCGGAGCGAGGTCAGCTGACTTAAAACATTACATTTAGTAGAGAAACGTTCGTAACATCTTACCTTCAGTCTTTCATTCAAGAATACCATGAATACAATCATGAATTACAATCATTATTACCTTCGCCAAAAGGTTGTTTTCAGAGACGTTCGAGCGTGTTTTGTGCGTCTGTCTGAGTGTCTGTAAACAAGATAACTCGAGAAGGCTTAAATGGATTGTCTTTATACTTGGTAGATAGGTAGGTCTTCATGAGACCTAGAAATGATTAGGGCCTCATGATGCTAGGGCTAGGGCTAGGATCACGAAATTTGAGTTTCAATTCTAACCCGGGCCCCAAGACGAAACAAAAAAATGCATATCAAGAACATTATTAGATTGTGCTTAAGATTATTATTTAACGTCTGTGCGGCATGGCGTCAGTGTTGGACAAGAAAAACAATAACTGCTCCCAGTCCGAATGTTGCGTTTCTGTTAGCCCAGACGTCTCAAGAGTCTCTGATATCATGAATTACAATAAAAAAATGTCCTGCTTTAAACCTGTTCTGAACACGGTGCAAGGCTAAGTCAATATAGAATAAAGTTTAAATATTTATTTTCATTTGCCTATACTGCAGGTATAGTGCTGCTGCATAAATATTATATATTACTATTTGGCACAATATTTCCTAGAAGCAAGAACCACGCAATGCTACAAAATAGAGGATGGATTAAAACTGGCATTTCCTGTCAGCAATCTTAAAAATCCTGGAGTGCACGAGGTGACGATAGCAAAGGAATGGTGTTTAATTTATCGTCGTGTTTCACTCTCTAATATACTTTACTGTATGTTTGTCTTCCTGACATTCATGCTGTCACCTTTGCCCTGCAATTCAAAAAATAAAATTAGACTTAAGATAAAATAAAATAACGGGTAAATATATATTTAATAACACCGCAAACGATCAGTGGGTTACATTGTTACTACATGTACTTTCACTTTGCAATGTAAACTACAGAGACAGAGTTTGAAAAACGAGACACTTCACGTAACATTGATAATTAAGCATTAAAGGCATATCATACTTGTTAAAAAAGTACAGATTTCACAAATCCTAAAAAAAACATGTTTCCTGTGTTTCTATAGTTCTGCATATAAATCTACTGGTATTCAAAAATCTACTATTACACAACACTCACTATTCACTTTATATTTCAGTAGAGTATCATATAGCTAATGTAGAAAATTAAAAGTAAGCCATACATGAAATTATGACAATATACAATAATCTTTCAAAATTACGAACGACTTAAGATTTAAGATCAGGATTAACATGTTAGGTATTTAAACATATATACAACAACACCATTCCTCATTGTCGGGTTAATACTATTACTAGTACCACTACTACTTTTGTGCAGTCCTGTTATAACCGATAATTGATAAGTCATTTAAGAAAATTGAGTCATAACGTCTGGCTAAGTTAGCAGGGATACCAGCCTTGTTTGGCTAAGTAAGGACATGGTATGTGCCTTTATGACGTCCTTGGGCTAACAGTGCTGGGATCCAGGCTATGGGGACGTGGATTATTAATGTACATCGCGCCCAGATGATATAGGCTTCACAGGTACTTTATATTTCACTCAAAGGAAATAATTTGCTACACATTGAGGCCCTTAGAAAAAGAGGCCCTTAGAAAAAAAGGCTATGAAATCTGTTTCTTATTTGCCTTCAATTTAGGGCAGTCCTTTAGAAAGTAACTCAAGTCATTAGACTTTGCTTGTTAATAGCTGATGCTTTACTGCCATGTCATGCCATGATTAACGAGGTGGGCCGCATGCCTCGGTGGTCTTAACTGGTCTATCTTTTGCAGCAACACTTCAGGCGTCGGCCGCTTGGAGGGGTCTACTATCCAACAGGACCTGATGATGCGGTACACCGGCAGCGGACAGTTCTCCGGCTGCTGCAGACGGACGCCTTTCTTCAGCAGCTCCAACAGTGTGCAGACGTCCGGGTGCATGGGGCCTCCAGCGTAGCGCGGCTCCTCCCCAAAACTGGCGATCTCCCACAGCAGCACGCCGTACGACCACACGTCACTCTCACACGTGTACACCCCGTCCCGTAACGACTCCACGGCCATCCACTTTAGCGGCAACAGTTCCTCCTCCCCACCCTGGTTCGTGCGTTCGTACGCCGACGACGTGTAAACATCACGCGATAGTCC